AGAAAATCTTAACATCTTTGGATTACCTTAGTATTTATTAGGCATTATTAAAAAAATATTAGGGCCCCTTAAATAAATTATAGTTTCAGATAAGGCAAATTTCAAACAATGCCAATTAAGTCGTATATAAAAGAGTTTTAAAATAAATTAAATTTATAAAGAATACTATTTTTTTTAAGCACTGCTAAAAAAAAATATAAATTGATTGAATGATTTTTAGGTACTTTTTTCTGTAACTCTTTCGATTGCATTTACAATTCAAGCACCTCGTTTGTAAGAAGATATGCAGCATCCTATATTTAAATATAGGTAAATGATTTCAAGAAGCCCGATTTATTTAAATTCCCAGCTCCAATTCACAGTTTTTGGAGAAGTTCCTCTGCAGCGGGCTGCTAATCAAAGCCTCTTCATCCGGAGTGCAAAGACTAAGAACGCCGGCAAGTGTATCTCAGCCTCAGCGTTTTGAAAACAAACTTTGCCCGGCTGCCTTTGTTATGATTTCCCAAAAGCCAAGACGGGACACTGAACTGTGTTTGTCATCGGGCGACAACAAAGACTGGGAAGAAGAAAGACTTCTCCACAGGCAGTCGGGGAAGTTTTTGCCAAAGTGCTTTCTTTGCTCGCAGTTCTCTCCCAGCGAATCCTGTGAGTCCTGTGAATCCGGCGAATCTGGCAGTGTGTTTATCACACGTCAAAGGCGCTTTTTGTCTTTGCCCAAATCTGCTTCAATTTGAGCCGAGATGAGCGGCATATAAAAAGTTTCTGTTGTATAAACATTGTGTGATTGTTAGAAAAACATGTGCCGGGGGCACAAAACACACGCTCGCAAAGAGAAACGCCCACACAGAACAGAGACTGAACAGAAAATCATAGAATGGAGGTCTATTGTTAAAATACACTGCCCAATTTATTAATCATTTATTGTAGAATAAATAATTATACCAAACTTTTAAAAGAATTTAAAATTTATAAAAATAACAATATTGTAAGCTTTTTTGCTCTGATAAATATTCCATTCTTAATAGTTAAATTGATTTCATTTGTAACTAGGGTTTAACTGTTATTCCTAACAAGTTAACTAACTAAAGTAGTGATTCCACTGTTAGTGTATAATGAGAGAATAGTAGAGAAAAATCGAGAAAATCCGGGGAAAGCGGTGAAACGCAAAACGAACTCATCAAACAACGCCATCATCTGCATATGCCACGTCCTTGTCAGCGACATCCTCATTCCCGTTATGATGAAAAGTCGCAAGTTTTCCGAGTGTAGAATGACAGGGTGTGTGTGTGTGTATGGGTCTGTGTCACAATAAAGCCGCCTTTATAGTCCCCAGATTAGGTTAATCCGCTGGCTGTTAGCTGTTGGCATCGCTATCTGCACGGCCTTTGTTCTAATGATGGAAATGAGCGTGTGAAAAGCCCGGGCAATAACTCTTTCTGTTTTGTTGCCCTAATGAAAGCAGTTACAGTTTATTGTGCTCACGCACACACATTCCACAGCGAACTCGGTTTAATGAACCGCTCCTGCTCACAGCGAAAAAAGGATATTCAAGTCCCAGGCCGCGCTTTATCATAATTTACGATGCATTAAGTGATTTTAAACATGATGTTTGCTGTTGCCTTTGTCATTACTGCTGTCTTTTGCAACCTCTTCGGCCCACTTACAACTACAATTTGTTTTAAAAGATTAGAATATTTATTTAAGAATAAGTTAAAAAAATAAATTTGTTTCTAAATATTTTATTTCAAACTAATACTTTAACTACAGAAGTATATTTTGAATTTTATTACTTACAGATCAAGATTTAAATTCGTAAGAAATACTATTCACTTAACCGCTGCTGTAAGAACCGCCACGCTTTCTCCATAAAAAGGTGTGGCATTCTTTTGAGGGCTCATGCAGTTGACATGTGCCAAGGAGGTTGATTAAATTAATGAAATAAATTATGAGCTGCTCATCACCGGCTCACTCGCTGTTGCCTTTTAAATTGAGTGCGCGCCATCTTGAAATTAATAATGTGACATGTCACAGGACGAAGTGGAGGGGGGGCAAGGGTCCTTCGCCTTGGCAGGTGCCACACACGTGTGTCGAGTCCTTTTAATTCTGTTGCAAAATAAATGAAGTGCCTAAGCCAACGCAGAGGTAAGTCGCCTGTCTGGGTTCTGATTTATGCACGATCTTGAATTTTTCGCAGCCCGCTCAAAATTTATGCACTTAATTTCATTAATCCGACCAGTGCGACATCACGCATTCGCCCCGTTGCAACCCAGTTGCGGAAGCAGCACAGACAGTTGGCTCTGATTACACTGGTCGACAAAAAAAAAGCCCAAGAATAAAAGCTACCAATCCTGAAAGGATTTTAGCTGTAGATTACTACCTCATACTTGAAAACTTTCCATCACGTCGAAGTTTTGAGAAATCCGTGGTCAAAGTTCCAAATTTTCGATTTTTAGGCACTTTTTGCGACTTAATAGTAAGAAAACCTTTCGTAGCCCAGAGCAGTGCTGCCATCACTCAGCTTGAAAAACAGGACAGATAAGCCAAAAAAAACAGGGAAAAAAAGGACAAAAAATTTTAAAAAAGGACAAAAAAAGGGACAAAAGTAAATGCGCCTCCATTTTTCTGTTTTACCTATGGGTTATATAATTACTTAATTTAAATGGATTTTATATTAAATTCAATTATGTAATGACCTACTGCGCCCGACTCACATCCTTCTTTGTTTGATCATTTTACCATGGTTAATTTTTGTGCGTATACGTAATAATCTAAAATTATTAAAATAATAAAAGCATTTCAAGTAACTATATTGGTAATACAAAAAAATGCAATATCTGCGTCAAACCCGAATAAGAGTCGTTAAAATCTGAAAATTTTTTCTGACAAAAAAGCAGAGAGTAAAAATTGAGAAATTTTTAAAGTGTTTTCCTCTTTTTTTGCTACAGAAAAAATCGTACTATATAGAAAATCCATCGACTGCTTTACGTCTCTTTGATCATTTGTAAAAATAATTATTTTTTAAGTGCCGAACTGTAAGATTGATGGTTAAAAAGGCGTTTTAGCATATAAAAACAGGTTTACACACTTTCGACTGGCAAAAATAACACTCAAAACCTTATTTTTGAAAAAAGGACAGATTTCCGGATAGGGGATGTTTGAAATTTTTTCCGGATAAACCCGTTAAAAAAAGGACAGATCTGTCCGGAAAGAGGACAAAATGGCAGCACTGGCCCAGAGCCACAATTTAGCGGAAAAGGTACTTCGAACCTTTAACTTCAAGATTGTCCAATCACAAAGTTGGGCGACCTCTACTTCTTTAGCTACAATGGATTTTACTGAAGTACTTTTTGTCACTTTTTTTCATCTATAGTAGCCTGATATTTTTAATGTATTGAATGTGTACGGGTCTCAGTTCAACAAGGAAAATATCAGGCTACTATAGATGAAAAAAAGTGACAAAAAGTAGTTCTGTAAAATCCATTGTAGCTAAAGAAATAGAGGTCGCCCAACTTTGTGATTGGACACTCTTGAAGTTAAAGGTTCAAGGTACCACTTCCGCTAAATTGTGGCTCTGGGCTACGAAAGGTTTTCTTACTATTAAGCCGCAAAAAGTGCCTAAAAATCGAAAATTTGGAACTTTGACCACGGATTTCTAAAAACTTCGACGTGATGGAAAGTTTCCAAGTATGAGGTAGTAATCTACAGCTAAAATTCTTTTAGGGTTTGTAGCGTTTATTCTTGGGCCAAGAAAAAGTCTTGATTTTGTCGACCTGTGTTATTGAATTGAATTGAATTTGCTTTTAAAGTGGCTTCCCAATCAAACCACATTCTCATCTGTGGCCGAGTAATTTCCAATAAAAGTGTCACAAAATAAAAGTTCCTCTCCGACTGCGAAACGCACCACAAATTCGTTAGACGTGCAGCCCCAAAAATCCAATAAAAGCACAATAAGACTGAGGCCACTGGCCAGTGACTCGTGCTTTGCTCTCTGCTCGCCCTCAGAAGCTGCTACAATGCAATGCATTTAAGTGCGATTATTTCTTCCGACAATGTGGATTGTGTGCGAATTGCAACTGCCGTTGCACAATGCTCAACTGGAGCATTTGCATACAACGGAGGATATGTGGATGCTACACCTGAAAAATAGCATATCTGGAAGGTAGGATGTTTTACAAGAAAAATTAAAAACTACACGACAATACATGTTCCGAACATTTAATATTATAATAGTAACAGTGCCTAAGAATGAAAAAAAATAACTCGATATATGTTTGAAAAATTCTATAAATCTTTCAAATAAATATACTTATTTTCTGTGGAGGCCGATGAGCTTCTAAGTTAGATTTTCCCAAGTGCATGCCTTTTGAACCTCGATCCCGAAGTGAACCTGGTACATGAACCGCCTCGCCCCGGCCAGAAATTAACAAAATGCATTGCACGAAGCGAGGCGAATGCTCACCCCAGCTGGAGCATCGAACCAACAAAAGCCACCAAATTAGCAGAAGCACACAAAAGGCTCCGGAGGTGGAGTTGTATGTGCTTGCTTACAATGGACCAGCACGAAATGCCATCAAGTCGACTGGGGAAATGGCAGAGGTAATAGAACTTCCCTTGAGGGGCGTCGGTGGTAAGAAGGGGCTGGAGTCTAGGCCATGTTTGCTGCCAGACAGTTACAATGGCGTTGGTTGACTCTTGTTACCCATGTGCTTCCCTGAGGCTGCCACATTAGGTATATACCCTAAATAAATGGAACATGATAAATCTAAACACCCAAATTTAACATATTAATTAATTACGAGATTTAAGCATTAACAAAAATAAAATTCCAACAAATTTAATATTGTATAATATCTCTGATAAATCTTTAAAATCTAGTAATCAAATAGAATAGAAAAACATCCTTCTATCCATCTTGATACCCTTTTCTAGGGGAATGCGTAATGCATAAAAACAACACTCAGTTCGGACGAACATGACAAAAGAACAAACAAAAGCAGATATGCAAATTAAAAGTTACATTTATTCGAACTTCCATTCCGGTGAGCTATAAAATCACAAGCAGAACGGGGGAGTGCATTAAAAATCATCCTCATCATCGTCATCGATGATGGCCAACCGACGCCGCTTGGCCGGCTCACCATCGACTTTGGCTGGCTTTTTGCGAGCCAGAAAGTTGGCCTCCTCGTCCTCGCTGTCCTCGTTGGCGTGGGCATCACCATCCCCATCCTCCCGATCGTCATCGCTGCGCGGGCGTTTGTTTGTCTTGTCGGCAGGCAAGGCGCCATCATCGTCGTTGTCGCTATCCGAGTCAATTACATTAACGCGACGTGCACGCTGCAGGGACTTATTGGTATTGTTCTCTTTGTCCTCATTGGCACCGGCATCCTCGTCCTTCTGCTCCTCCTCATCCTCCAGCTCGAGCAGCCGGGCACGATAGTCCTCCGAGTTGAAGTTAAATGCATCATCGTCCGCCTCTTGAGCGGCCTTTGTTGACTCATTTAGAGCCATATCGCTCAGCTTGATTTTAGTGGCTCGCTTGGCTCTCAATTGATCAAATAAATCATCCGTGTTGGGTTTCTCCAGCTCTGGTTTATCTGCCCCTTTGTCACCAGAGTCCTTCGACTCGATGCCTTTATCTTTGACCTTTCGCTTGGCCTTCTTTTCGCTGGCCTTGGGCTTGTCCTTGGCTTTTGGCGGAGCACGCTGCTCGGTTTCGTCATCGCTCTGGTTGAACATGAGGCTATCAAGTTTTCGCTGCTGCTCAGCCGCTATGTTCTTCTGCCGCTGCCTGCTGTGCTTCTCTAGGAAGTCCTCCTCTTCCTCGCTTTCCTCCTCCTCCTCATCATCATCATCGTCGGCTGCCTCGTCTTCGGCATTCAAATTCACCTCTTCTCCCAACAAAATCTTAGAACGGACTTGCAAATCCGCAGCATTTAAATAGGTGGGAATTCGCCAGTAGGTTTCCATGCCCACAATGGGCGGCTGCATGCCCAGGGCGACCAGTACCTTTTGAAAGTCCCCATCCTCCATGGCATCCTTTTGAGCCTCCATTAGGGGCAATAGTGGTACGCCGTCGTCATCCTCGGCTGGTTCCTCTGTATCCTCGCTGGCATCCTGCAGACATTCCTGTAGCCACTCAATGGCGGATTGATACTTGTCGCCATCCACCTGAGCGATTAGAGCCTTGACAGTGCCCACATCCAAGGGTGTTCGGACCACCTGGCGTTTCTGGGATTTTTTAGGTTTCGCCTTGGGCTTTTTATAACCCTCGTCCTCGAACATGGGCTCCTCGGCAAAGTCGTACTCATCGCCCTCGCCTCCAATTTCGGGCAACTGCTTCTTGGCCTTGCCCTTGCCACGCCCCTTTTTGGCGGGCAGAATCTCCGACTTGTCCGCTATCAGGTGAATCTCCAGCATCCGCTTGATGATCTGCTGCTTGGAGCGCCGCTCCTCAAACTCATGGACAATTCGCTCCAGGCAGTCTGAAAGGATAAATAAGTACATTAACCATATATTTCTAGCCTACCATATTCTATTAAATTTCTTTTCAAGAAATAAAGAGCTAAAGAGATTTTGTCTTATGCCCTCAATTTAGGCCTACACTCCATCATCTCCCCTTGGCACTCAAACTGATTGTCCACTTACCCGGTTCAATGCGATGCTGATCGTATAAGCTCCTTAGCTCCTCGTCCTCTTCCGGCTGCCAGAGGTTTTTGCCGCCCTGGGCCGACTTGGTCGAACGTTTGGTGGGTGCCTTGAACAACAGGCCCAATTCCTTTAGCTTCTTCAGTACTGTGCGACGATTGCGCGTCTTGTCGACCAAATTTTCCAGAATCCAATCAATCACATCTGAAAGAACAGACAGGAAAATGGCTAGTTGTTTTCTGTCTATTTTTGGCCTGCTGCATTTCGAGTGGCTCGAGTGCCGGAGCTCTGATTGCTTCTATTCATTTACTCCGTATCGAGTTTTAATTCACACTCTAGGTGAGTTTCCGAAACTGCAGATGCAGGACAAAAAGGCATGCAAAGCCGATCAAAAATTAGCCTATATTGGGTTGGGAATTTTACTGGATTTTAAACTTTTCAATTTTGGTCTAATTTGATGGCAACAACCCAAAATTGACTAACATTTTTCAAAAATTTCTGTTGGTTGGGCTTAGAAAGGCTTTGTGTACCCTGAATACCTAGACCCGTAATAGTTACCCTTATCGGTCTCAGGATTGCGTTGGTTCTCCTCGAAGAGGAAGCGCAGCTCCGACTCCTGTTCCTCGCTCCAGGCTCCTTTGGTGCCGCTGCAAGTAAAGTTAATACAATAGGGATATAGGAAGGACTTTTTAGCAGACTATCTCCCCGTGATTTTGACTCCCCATGCTGAGGATGTGACCCTTTGGGGGAGGTGCAAATACAATAGAGACTTCAGGCCCGGCCGTTGGCCATCATTTATCATGTGCCAACTAAACGACAGACGATGAAGTCCCGGCTCAGTCAATCATGCGCCCATTGTGATGGGTCAGACCATCCCGACCACCCGAGGAATAGACAATGCCAAAGTGACCCATACTCACGCTTCGTAGGCGTCACAATAGCCCGTCTCCAGCTCATTCGCCTCCCTGATGCCTTTGTAAAATAATAACTCTGCATAGATTTTGGGATTAGTCGGGGCCACCTCGACAAATTTGCGCACCACAAAGATGGCCAGGCGACGCAGCTCCTCCTGATGGACGTCACGTTCCACGCTGAAGACTTGTTGAAAGATGCGAAACAGCTTGGCCTGTGGAAGGCGGGAGAAGACGGAGAAAAGCGGGAAAACGCTGGTTAGGTTGTGCTTGAAATTCAAATGAAAAGTTTCTGGAAAGACAGCCACAGCAGCCGCCACCTCGTCCTTCTTCTCGAGAATCTAGAATCCTCTGCGGTTGCCGCCTGCGGTTGTCTCTCTGCTGAGCAAGATATCATTTGCAGTTGGCAAAAACTTTATAAATGCCACCCCAAACCCCGACAACTAACCCTAAAAACCCTCTCCACACATCTCCATCCACCGACCATCCAACCGAAAGCCCCTGTATCGTTGTCGACTGTCGTCGTCCGTATTTGGAATTTAATTTATCCTATGATTGCGCAGACCCATTAGTGGTTTTGACTTTGCATATGATGCTACTTTTGTTTTGCTTGTGGCCAGACTGGCAAGCAGCAGTCTGCTCCTTTTGATGGCCTCATGGACATGGATAGCTGCAGCCGTTGCGCACTGGGGGAAAAATCTCATTTAAAATTAACAAACCAAAAAAAAAAAATTAAAGGCAAATAATATTAGTAAACAACTAAGAAAAAAATTCATCGTGGATTGACTATTTATTTTTAAGATATACCAAGATATTCTTTGAATTTTTTGATACCGCTTTCTTACACTTTTTAAAAGAAATAAATCATTTAACTCTTTATAACTCTGTTTTTAGCATATTTCTGTTCTTCTTTTCAGAGAATCATTATGAAATTTTTTAAGTTGATTTTATCAGGTATTTATAGGTATTTCTCCCAGTGCCCGGTTCCTCATTCTCGTCATCGTCCTCGTCATTGTCGTCTCTTAATCGTCGCTTGTGCACAGCAGACAGTGAGCCGGCTTAGATGACGCTGATAGGGAACCAATGCCGCCTGAAGAGAGGGACGCGAAATGGACGAAGGATTGAAGACGGAGGACGGAGACACTCGACATCGGCTTTGTTTCCCCCCCAAAATGCGATGCCGTTTTTGGCCGCTCCAGTGATTAGCCATTCTCCGTTCCCCCGGCGACTCTGCTCTCTGCAGCGGTTGCATGCCACTCTGTGCTGCCCGAAACCAAAAACCGAGGGCTTTAAGCACCGCTTTAAGCCGATGAAAACGGAAAAGCCTCGCTGGTGGGCGAGCGAAGGCCGCGCAGCCTGCTGCTGAATGTGATTTATGAACTCTGCCCGAAAAGAAAAGTTTAATTGCCAGCCGTGAAAAGCAGCATAAGCAGTTGAAAAGAAATCCGGAAAGAAGCGAAAGGCAATTTGTGTAAGGTACAAAGTGAAATGCTCTTTAAAATAATATTTTAAAATTGGTTAAATTTAATAACCTTATTTTACTTTCGGAACCAAAAAAATGGGAAACGAAAATGCTACAACAAATTAAAATTGTAATGCAACTAGGGACAAGACGAGCTCGCATTAAATTCAAAGTAAAAGCGTCAAATAAATCTGGCGAATATCTAGAGCGTCCAACTTCAAGACAATCGCGTTAGACTTCTCCCAAGGGTCTGCGCCCACCCAAACTCAAACACAGACATTTGAATATTCGAGTCGCTATAGAACCCAACCGATGCTGCGGCTCAAGGCAGCGCGTGAAAGGCTTAAAAAGTTCAAATTCCAGCTGACAGCGGAGGGACCAGAAAAGCGAACCCGCCGAGCCCATTGCCAAACCAGCTTAAAAAAATATATATATGTATACGTACGGCGTACGCGCAGAGCAGTAAATATCGTTTGTGGCTTTGGACAAATAGAAAAAAGGTCCGCTTAATTTGTACAAATTACCATAAAAATGAAATGAAAGCAGCGACAGTAAAAGAATAAGAGAGCAAAAGGAAAATGAGCGGCAGCTAAGCTGTGGCATTTGTTTTTTGCATTTGACTTTGATTTATGTACAGGTTCTTTAAATGGTTTAAAAGAAAAAAAAGGCATTGCATCGTTTCATTGCTGAAGAGTATCTACTTTAAGTAGATTTAAATTTCGAAATTATTTTTTTAGATTTAATAGTATTAAGTTATTATTATCATTCACTCACCTGAAAAAGCATTCCCGAGCATTTGCAGCCGTAGGCGATGCGATGTAATATAGTAACTGCCGCCTTTAAGGATTTCGTGGGTATATCTGCCCAATCCGATAGCACTAATGTGCAGGCGCGAACAATTTTCGGATTCAGCAATCTAAAGATAGGGGAGAAGCAGGAACATTATAAACCAAACTCCAATCAAATTATGCTAAATTTAACTAATTATGATTTAAGAGTTTATCCAGGCAGCCGGCACACCCGAAATAACCATCGACCACGACAACCGCAAATGTTCTACACTCGGCACAAAAGTTTTAGAAACATTTGAAGCAACAACAGCAACAACGAGGGGAATGGCAGCGCAATTAAAATACAACCGGCAGGACCAACTTGACGTCATTTTATTATAATTGTTGTGGCAGGGTGAGCTGATGTTGCTGCCGTGCGGGTGATGTTGCTGTTGCTGCTGCCATTCTAAGCTGCCCGCGGCATCTGTGTGCGCCGGTTTCGAGTTCGAGTTCGCGGCCATAAAACTTTTGGCACAAGTAATTTCTGACACTAATCCTTAATTAGTAGCCACGAGCACTGACTCTGCTCGGCTCTGCTCTGGTCTGCCTTTCAATTAAAAACACAATTACAATTTTCAACACGACCATCAGCACACAAAACCGCCGTTCAACCGAGCGGGCGACCATGATAACTTTTCAAATAACGGCAGTAAAATTTAAGCGTTCGTCCCCCACTTCCTGGTTTATATTTCCCCGAAATGGAAAAGTGTCCAAGCGGTTTGGCCTTGATTCGAAAACTTTATGGGCTTGAGGGCCTGGGTCTAGGCCTATTTACCTGCGAGCGAAATCATCAAATTTGAACGTTTTCTCGGTGAGTCCATTATCTGTCCAGGGGGAGGAAACGGAAAAAGGGGGTGGGAAAACAGGCAAATGCCATTTATTAGTTGAAATTTCCTCAAATTATTTTCATATTTATCACAGATTTATGCGATGAGTGCTTACCCTGCTCTCCGAATTCCTCGTTATCCAAGTCATCGTCCTCGTCTTCGTCCTGCTTGTCCCCGTTTTCGTCTGCCTTCTCCTCGGGCTCAGCTGAAATTGAAAATATTTATAGAATATCAGGATCTAACCAGAATGCCAGTAATGGGGATTAAATTTCGCTGGAAATACTTAATTGTAGTCAGAGATTTAATGACGAAAAATCATCAAGGAGTCAAACATTAAACATTATCACTTAAATACATATTCTGAAGAAGTGTCAAAGAAATCTAAAGAGTGGAAATAAAATACAAATTTTACCCAAACCCATATTAAACTCTACTATTTTACAATTTAAGGCCAGATTTTAAATTTAAAGCAAACAAGCATCCTTTGTGATTTAATCAATTATGCAGGAGGTGCACATAGAGATAGATGAGGGTCCTACGGGGAGGACTCACTGTTCTACCGACTGCAACACAAATGGCCATTAACAATAATTATGACTGCTGCAATGCATAAACAAGTGTACTTGTGTGCCAAACAACCGGGCTCAAACACACAGAGAGTTATACAGAGCGGGATAGCGAGGGTCCTGTTCTGATAAAATGCAAAGCCAGTCGAAAGCACACTTCACAGGATCCCTTTCGAAACAGTGCAATTGGAATGGAATAGGCACTGCACTTTCGCATGTATGAAAGGCCATCCGACCCTGGGCTTTCGCTTGGAGGTGGAGGTTGCTGCTGATGTTGCACCTGCTGCGGGCCAAATGCCCCAAAAAATGTCAGTCGCCGGACTTTGGGCAGGTAACAACTTCATTTTGGAAGTGCCATCCCCTTTCATCCCCTCACACCTTTTGGCACCCTACACCCATGGAATGTGCTGCGTGTGCGTCGCTTTATTAACGTCTTGAATGGGGGCTCCACTGGCATGTCCTTGTTCCTGTTCCTGCTCCTGTCCCTGTCGTTGGCAGTGACGCTATGCTCCGTCATTAAAATACAATTTTCTGTGTCAGGTTCAAGCTGTAAGCCCAAAAACATGGCACACAGATGGTGGATGGGCGAAAGGAGGCGAATCTGAGGGGATTGGGTGGAAATGCAACACGGACAGCACACGATATTAGTGCATGTCTTTTGGGCTGCCTTTGTAGCTGCATTTGTTGGCCCGACACCCGACAGGACTGTGGATATAGCCCTCCTCTCCGGCACAACAACACCTTACTCCATCCGAAGGACTGCGACTGCACGGCCATTAAACATGAACCTCGTTACGGCGTTGTTGATGTTCTTGTTATAAGCGGTAACTTCAGGGTAGTCAGGCTATGTTCCGAGCAGAACTAAAGTCTGGAAGTCATGATGGCACTTTCAAACTCTCCCTGACAGGCTTTTGTAAGAAATGTGGCTGGTTAACGGAGAATTACTGGTTAATAAACAGGGGCTCTACCGCTTTTCAAGGGAAAAGGAAGCTGGTAAAAGGTATAATCATTTAAGTTTTCTGTTTCCAGTATTTTAAAAACTCAGCTTTAATATTAACACTAGTAATAATAAATATTTTATAATTTTGTTTTACAAAAATCTGCTGTAATTTGAAAATTTATTTTTATTAATTTTTTGTAGTGTTTCAAGTAGTCTAGTGTAGTTGTAATCTGAATACTAAGAGTTTAGCGGCTAGTATAAAATAACTTTTTAAATGGATCAGTTGTATAATGGGTACAAAAGAGGTCCAGTTAATTATGCTTAATAGTTTGTTCAGCTTTGCAGGCCACACTTAATGACTTTTGCGCGTCGCTTGCACCTGGACAACACCTGAACGCATTCCTGCCACGCCCTCTATGTTGTGAGACCACCCACTCGCCCCTCATCACATGACCTTCACTGAGGGATATTATGCACACATCCTGGTAGCATGCAAAACGGGAACGTGCCTGGTGTTTGGCCTGCGGTCAACAGCAGACAATGTCCTGCCATCCTGTCCATCCAAGGACCATGTACTCATCTACTCATCTACCATACCCACATCCAAACCCACACCCACAGATTCCTATACTTTTGGGTAGCAATTAATTTGAAGTTTAGCACGTGTGTGTGTCTTTGTGATTATTACATAATGGCAAAGACAATGTCAACAACAGACTCAGCTAACCGAGGTGGGATGGCCGGGTGGATTTTGGTGGCTCAGGTTGTGCAAGAAGCCTGAGCCGGATTTCAAGGACTCGCAAATGCTAACAGGTGATGACAAAAACACACAGCGAGAGAGACAGAGAGAGAGACTAACATCCTGCTGGCAGGGACATAAACAAAATAATAACAAAACGCAGTCAGCAGCTTGAAGAGCAAAAGTTCTTGGTAGCCGCAATACGAAAGAGAAACCGCGCCGGCGCCCAGCGACCATTTCGAATTTCGAACTCCACAGGCTGGCTTAAAAGCATGTCCTGGCCGAGTGAGGAGCTCAGTCTAGTGCTGAATACATCGAGGCCAGGACACGCGACCCGTGACAGTGTCGAACTAACCAAAAAACCCAAGTGCCAAGTGCCAAGTGCCGTGTGAAGAGGCCACCACAAACAACTAACTAACTAACTGCCTCCAGAAACTGTGCGATTTAAGCTAAGAGCAAAACAGAAAGGTAGCATAGCAGTCCCACTGTGTGCTTTGCGTGTGTTTGCGGTGTGCGTGCTGTGTTGGTATGTGTGAGATGTTAGCCAACTTCCGGTGGCAGAAGCCGAAATGTCAAACTTTTTTTGCTAGCAGACAGCAAGGCGTCGAAACGGGAATTGGGATAGGAGCATCCTCGTATACAATATATTATTTACTTATGGGTTAAATAAATATAGTGATCTATTGCCCAGTAATAATATTTGTTCAAGCTTTAACAATATTATTTTTTCTTTAACCAGATATATTTATACATCCATGAATTTCTAAGATACCGTTTGTTGTTCTCTAAAGTGTGAAAGAGGATTTAATAAATAACAAAAGAGGTATCCGGCGATGCTCACTCGTAATCTGTTGTTTTAGAGTTTAGCAGGCAAGAGATTATATACTTAATATATAAATTTCACATTGTGCAGCTTTTTTGGCTTAAGCTCAAGAGCTGTTCATTTAAAATGTCTAAAAATTAAACAAAATATACTGCATATTCACAATGAATTTTACTATTTTTTTTAATCCTAAATAGTAAAGCTTATTTTATAATCCAAGCTGTTTATTTTAGATAAATTCTCAGGACTTCACAAGCATCCCTGCTAAAGTATTTCGCGTATTTCCCTTATTTCCGACAGCTGCATGTCTGTGTGTGTTTGAGTGTGCATAATGCGTGAGTGTGTGTGTGTGTTAGAATCTGCTCATTTCCGCTCGCCTGCCAAAATCAGGTGAAAGCTAGCTCGTAAAGTTCACGGTGAAATATCCATTTGCAGTGCATCAGTGCCCGGGAAAAACCTTAAAGCAAACAGCCAGCGAAGTGAATTAACCATAAACAAAACCCCCCAAAAAAAATAAACCGAAGCAAGGCAAAAACGAAATTTAAACGTCTGTGCATATTAATCAGAACAAGGAACGTGAAACGTGAACAGGATCAGGTCCTAGACAACTTATCACAGAGGATTTACGCAGCAGACAAACGCAGGACACGAATGCGAGAGTAGAGCGAAAGGCGGCGCTAATCAACGGCCAAGGCAGACGACATCCTTACCACGCCCACAACTCCCCCTTTGGAAAAAAGAGAAGCGAAAAAAAACAGGAGCCACCGAGCTGAAGAGCAGGAGCCGCCTCATTTGGCCACTGCGGATTATGTTAATTAGGTAATTTTTGCTTTGATTACTCATACCTTGGGGGCTGTGCAATTTTGTTTGCCTTACTCCCGCCTTTTTGTCCACGGACCCTGTGTTCGACACCCCCACAAAGCGCCCACTGTCCAGCTTACATATTTATGAAATTCTCATGCAAATCGAGCTAATTCATTCACATTTCTCCTCTGTCGCTGCTCAGCTTTTAATTCGCTACCCTAATTGCAAGACGATTTTTTCTCGCCCGCCTGATTTGTAGTTAAAAACTCATAATTAACAAGCAGCGGCGTAAATTGAAAAACTTTTCAGTATCTCGCTCCCCTAAAATAAACAGGAATTACAATTATTTTTGGCAAATGTAACGACAACACCGTGAGTTCATTAGGAATGCTAATCAAGAGCAAATGAAAAAGTTAAAATTAAATGCAATATAATTATCACTTGGCAAATCGATTTATAGCCCAGCAATTATAATGTATAAAATAAAATTACTAAAATTCGACTCTTTTTGAGTGCTGCTAATGGAATCGGAATTAATTACAGGCCCGATAATTTATTTAACAGCTGACATTTCATGGTCAAATAGTTACGGCCTGTGTGTCAAGTCGTCCGCATTTAGATTTGATTTAGCAAATAAAACAATTTGCAGCCACAGCACTATCAAATATTTCTCAAAACTAAATACGACCCAGGATCCCAATTGAGTTGCCAGTTGAATTATTATGGCCAGAACAGAACAGCCAGTCAATTGCACAATTCGATAAATTGAGGCCTAAATTCGGGGAGCAGAATGGAAATTGTGGGCTAAAGTCCAAGGCTCCTGGGACAGGACAGAGGTCAGGGGTTCGGAGCCAGGACAAAGCCGAAACAAACTTGCGAATGGTAATGGAAACAAAAACTGAAAACTGAAATTCCCAGTTGCCTGCCGGGCATTCAAAACTTTATGCTCTACCATTTCAGCATCGATAATTAAATTGTGAAATTGTGAGTTTTGCATCGACTATGAAAATGTGGCCAGAAATCATGCTCAAGTTTCTGCCATCCGTTCACTTGAGTGCTGGGATGGAGGATGTGGGATCGAGTGGGAGCTTTGCGATTTTAATTTTCAATTTAATTTGATTGATTTTTGCCTTGTTTGGGCGACGGCACATGAAATTCATACTCTTGAATTATGCATGCAAAGCCGCCTCGCAAAAGTATTATGAAATTCCTGTGGGCAATTTATTTATTTACGAGTATATTGCGCACAAGCGAGCCAAGAACATAGAACACCATGGAGGGTAAATTATGTATTTATAAATACCACTATATATACTGTATATATTTCACCGACAAAGAGAGTGTGTCTATTCTCCGGTAAAATGTCAAGCGCAAATTAAGCAAACGCTAATTCGACTTTTATCTGTCATGGCAATAAAACTTTTCGTATCCGCACCAAAGAATCATCTGCCTCGAAATGCCATAAAGTCCAAGTTTCTGGCAATTAATGCAGCCACAACGTCTAATTAGTCGGCAACAAAAGTGCCGCCAGTTGAACTCAGATAGCGCACGCACCCCAAACTCGGGTTGGGACGTCTTGTACAGGTAGCTCTCTGTATAGGGGATGCTATTTTAAGGGCGGCGGCGGTCGCCCCAATTAAGTGTGCCAGGGTGTGGCGCAAGTGCCTCTTGTGCGGTTAAGATGCCGGCACCATGACATCGTAACCTGATATCACATCAAAACACACGCTCACAACTCAATTTATGTTGACTTTCAATCAAGTCGGGGGGCAATAGAATTATGGGAATTCATTGACAGCAACGTTATTTATTCATTTAATTAGTCACTGAAATAACTAATTTTTTGCTGACGACTTTGTGAAAATTAATAAAAATAAAATTTCATTTGGTACTAGTATATAATTTATAGATTAAAACAAGAGAGAACGCTATAGTCGGGTGCCCCGACTATCAAATACCCGTTACTCAGCTAAAGGGAATGCGAAAAAGATGGAGATAAAAACTTTGATCCGTCGTAACTTTTTAACGAATGGACCGATTTAAAAAATTTCTTCTACATTTCGATAGGTATTGATAAACACAACAAAACTGCATTTTTACTTTTCCAAAATATTGAAATTTTTAAAATCGTATATAAGCGATTGTGGGCGTTAGAGGGGGCGTGGCATCCTTTTGAAACAAACTTGCGCTGCGTAGGAACTCCTAGAATCTGCATGCAAAATGTCAATCTTCTAGCTTTTATAGTTTCCGAGATCTCAGCGTTCATACGGACAGACAGACAGACAGACAGACAGACGGACAGACAGACGGACAGACGGACATGGCTAGATCGACTCGGCTAGTGATCCTGATCAAGAATATATATAGTTTATAGGGTCGGAAACGCTTCCTTTTACCTGTTACATACTTTTGCACGAATCTAATATACCCTTTTACTCTACGAGTAACGGGTATAATTAATAATTCCTAGAGCTTTTATTGTTATCTGAATAGCTACAGCTTTATGTTTTTAACAAAATGCAATTTAAATTATTTGATCTAAAGTGGTTCATTATGCTAATTGAAATTCATATTTGTAAAATAAAACTCTAATTGAACTCCATTTATTATCATGAAAGGTTACTCAATTTTAATCATTCAATATAAGAAGGTTCATTAGGCTAATTTCAATACATATTGGTAAAATTAAACTATACAAAATTGAATTCAATTTGTTACTTAAAAAGGTTATTAAATTTGAACTTTTACCTAATTATTTTCTTCACAGAAAAAATAGGTAAATACTTACACCTTTTTGTCAAAGTCTAAAGTCGTAAAATGGTGTTAAAATTTAAAATATGATATTAAATAAAATCTGTATTTTTAAAGCTGAGATTTGTGATTAATTTTAAATGAGCGACCAGTAATAACTGCAAAATGAATGGAAAATTCAACCAAATACCAGTCGCTTCCACTGTGCGTATGAGTGATGCGGGTGGCAGGCAACCGCAAGCCGTTCCAGATGGACCGGGTTTGTCAGCACACAGACAGAGTGGCAGCATTGTTTGCGGCCAACTCGGGCACTTGCAATCACGTGCCCCGTCTCGTGGCAATCAAAGTCGTTAGCTGCAGCCCAGGGGGGAAAGCAACGGAAAGCAAAGGAAAGTGGGTTCTCGTACACCCATCGGCGCCGAATAATCAAATATTTCCGTGACTACAAAGGACTCCGCCCCGAACCCACACGGATGGCAAAAGACAGGCTGCTGAAACTTAAAGCCAGTAAAAGTAAATCCGATTTAGAACTGGCAAACGGCAGCGGCAGCAGCCGCAGCGGAAGAGAAATGCCGAGAACGAAGAAGGCTCCAGACAATTTGCATATTTATGAAGAAGAACGGCCTTTGATAAAGCTGCAAGACAGCCCGCTCTCGGGCTGCTTTAAGCTGATTCAAATTGAAAAACGCAGACAGCAAAGGCAAGAGATACAAATGTAAATGGTTGTGAATCTTTGGGGGGCTAGGGCTAGCAACAATAATCTGTGCTGATTTACGATTTACAGGCGCGAAATAGACAACGAAAGTTTCCGAATGGGGAGCAGGCAGACAATTTGCGTGCGCAATTTGCAGTTGATGGGCGACACACGCCTCAAATCCTCCCGCCCCACAAAAAGAAGAACGGAAACCAACCCCCCAAATGGGCTAAATTGTTTAACATTTTTGCGAATGCGAAAAAGCGAAAAATATTACACACTGATTTTGATCGCTTCGCTTTTTTCTTTAAAATCAACGGCTGCTGAAAATGGCAAATGGAAAGCTGTCTATCCACGGCAAATGTTTCACGCTGAGTTTGCACAAATATGCCACAATTTGAAGCAATCAAAAGCAAATGAAGCATCGGGAAATGTTCTATTCAGATTTTTCGTATAATATTCAAATACAAAAAAATAAGAAAAGAAGTTAAAATTTATTGATAGTCCTCCTACAAATTTCTAATAATCCTCCTCGCTCTCGAATACCTATAAATAAAATAATCTAATTACAGTCGAGCAGCTTATAACAGTACTCAAAGGACACTCCCGAGAACACATTAAATAATTACCCAAAACTCACACACATAATTTTCAATCGAAAAGTCAGCCACATTTGCACTTTACTCATTTCGAAAACTTGTCTTCATTTGCAAATATTTATAATTAGTTAAATGCATGCAAATCCCAAAGTCCCCAACCAGTTCACCTCAATCTGTCTGTATGAGGAACTCATTTCGCAATCACTTCTGGTATGGAGCAAATTTGGGTTTTTGTTCAAAATGTGCAGTAAAAGCTTTCGGCTTGGCTTTCCCACTTGACATGTTCCCTGGAACTGTGTCAACATAGTTTTTCAATAACGCTCCGACATGTGTGCATTTACGTATTTAGTTCAAATATGGGTAAGCAGTTGGCATATGAGGTTGATATTACCAAAAACCCACTTCCGTTTTCCACACATTGCCTTGCACTTAGGCAAACACACACGCTGATGCACATGTAGAAATTTGCCTTCCACAGAATGACTTTAACAATGCAAATGGAGCACTCAAATATATATGTTGAGAGTAAATATATAGAAGAGATCTGCTAAATAAAATCAGGAGCGTAGTTTTCAATCTAAAGGGGGTTTATTATTTAAATAAAAATAATATTGGAAAATTTTTATGAAAATACAAAAAGGTTCCCATTGATCTTGAAAACGTTTTGTTTTCCCTTTAACAAATATCTACTATTCTTTTAGAGGTATCCCCTTAACAACGCTCCGGTATATGAAACACTTGGAAATCTCACCTTAATGCCTAATCCCTGACATTAAAGTGTTGCGCCAGCAAAGTGATTTGTTGTATACAAAGCGGCCGCATGCTGAGACACCCGGGCACCCAGAAAACCCCCCTTAAGACCCCTCGGAATCACCATTATTCCCCTTCATCAGCATCGCACAATGGGAACGAGAACGAGTGCGAGAACGACGGCATTGCAAATAATCTTTGCAGTAAATACGCAACAAGAA